CCTCAAGGCTCAGGGAGCATCGAAAAGGAGCTAGAAAGTCTTTATACGAGCCAGAAGTAGTGGATGTGTGCAGAGAAACAGAAGTTGCTGGGCATGGCAGGGCAGGGCACCTATTACACACATGACCCCAGAGGCTGCATGCTTAAGACCCACACAAGGTTAAGCCAGCCAAAATCCAAGTGTGGATGGGTGAGAGGTTCATCAAGTTCCACCCCTAGCTGAGAAGTTACTGGCAATGATGGCTGATGGGGGTATGGGAGGATGCTGGTTTCTCCAGGGATGTGGCCTAGACTCCAGTGGACGGTCCTGTGGCCATGCACATCAGTCAGCATTATATGGACTCAGTGGGTTTAAAACAGAGCACATCAAGTTGAGAGGAAAAAGTGGCAGGGGGCAGATAAGGGGGAGACTGGAGGGGAGGGAATCAGGTGGATTTGATCAAAACTTGTCATTTGCATATATAAAACTCTCAAACAATAAAAACAGTCATGTAGAGCTGAAGAAGTCTACCTTCCTAGAACTAAGAGAATATGTTTTGTACAATTCCATAAAGTCATAATGTAACATGTCTGGGTACAGAAAGCAAACCAGGGACTCAGGAGCACAGGGTGGGGATGTAGGCAGAGTGGATTAAAAGGGCACAAAGATCTTAGGGGTGATGGACACATGCCCTTGTGACTATGGAAATGGTCCCATGGGATACACACATCCAAACAGTTCAGAGCACACTTGTGAGCCCAGCACTCTGGCAGAGACAAAGGGATCTTGAGCTCAAGGCCAGTTTGGGCTGAATGGTGAGACTGTCTCAAAAACACAAAATATGGAGGGGTCTGGGTGGGGGAGTTATAACAGATCATCTGTTCTAAGCCACAAAGTCAACCGTAACGTTTGCCAGCTGTTTCAAAAGTCATACATTTTGCTATCAGGATAGGGATGGAGTAATTCCAAACCAGCACTGCTGGTGACAACAGAAAGTGGCCCTCAGAAATAAGCGTTGTATCTTCCTTGCAGTGTCTCATCAGCATGGTTTGCTCTATGAACATAATTCTGTCCTAAACCAATGAACTGTGTAATGAAGGTAAAGACTGTAATGATTGGTAAAGCCGTAAGCTCTGTCTAGTATCTCATCCAGCCAAGAGCCATAACATCTGTGTTTGTGTACGTATGTGCTTGTGTGGTCGGGTGCACATGTGTGCTAATGATGGCGGCAGATGTCTTCCTTGATTATTTTCCATCTTGTTTTGAGATAGATTCTATGTTGATACAGCTAAGTGTGTTCTGTATCAGAGGAAGACATGTGTGTGGAATGTAGAACATGCCCAGCACAAAGGGAAAAGCAAAGCATGTGCTCTAGAGTTGATTGGCAGTCAGTTCTGTTTCCAGAGTTTTTAAATGGCTACTGCTTCCAGTTCCCCGGCCTCCTCTGCAGCAGGCTCAGAGCATTCAGCAAGCCATTTTCTAGATCTGCATGGAATTACTTAACTGGGGCTTTCCTGCTGGACTTTGTCAGCTCCACCCTGGGCTTCTGAGCAATGTGATTTTCCTTTTCTGTTGAGGGACTTTTTATAGTGCTCTTGATCAGGAAAGTAAGTTTACTTTTGACTTTCATGAAGACTGTTTTTCCTTGGCACATGTTTCTAACATCAAAAATCACTTTTACATAAGGTTCAATTAGGACCAAACATAGTATAAATGGTCTCTTTAACAAATAAAGTTCATATACAGGAAGACTGGATATTACATTATAGAAACACTGCCTTTCATGGCTTTACTGCAAACACGTTTTGGTTGCAACAGAGCAGGGCAGGGCGGCTTCCATGGGTAGGAGAAGCTCCCTACCCGGGGACTACAGGAGATGCCATGCGATCTGGCAACAACTTCAGAGAATGAATAAAGCTCTTTTACAATCCAGGCTCTACAGTCAGATCCACTTTACAAACCGTAGGACATTTATAATCTTTCCCTAAAGAAACAAAACCTGTCAATGTGACCTGACAGTCACTGAGAAGCAACAGGTAGCCATATGGTTTTGTTCAGAGAACACAAACTTAAATGGAAGGAGAAAAAGAGATTTTCCTTTCTCTTTGAAAGCAAACAGAAAAGACCATTCAAAGTTGTTTAAGACAAAGACCAAACTGAACACATCTGGAACACAACTATACTCTCAGTACTTGGGAGACAGAGGCAAAAAGATCTCTTGAAAGCCTGAGGTCCAGGAGAGCCAGTGAGACCCTGTATCAAAAGCAAGGGTTGGAGGGAATGGCCTGGAGAGATAAAGAGATGGCTCGGTGGCTAACGGGGCATACTCATCTTGCAGAGGATCTGAATCTGGTTCCCAGCATCCACTTCAGACAGCTCACTACATTCCAGCTGAAAGGGATTCAATGCTTCTGGCTTCCCAGAGAACCTTCACTCATTTCTATGTGCTCATGCACACAAGTACATAAGTAAAAATAAATAAATCTTAAGAAAAAAAAAACAAAAAAAACCCAAAGACCAAAGCCTTTCAACTCACTGAAATATGAAATATAAACTAATACAATGAAAATCATTGTTAGTACAAAATTTCCAACAGGTATTTGTTGTTAAGAAAAAGTGCTGTAAGGCAGCAACATTGTGGTATTGCTACAGAACCAACCAACCGACCGACCGACCACCCACCCACCCACCCACTACCCCACAAATTAAATGAGATCTCTTTTTAATGTAAACAATCTGGTAAGGGGCTGGAGAGACAGCTTAATAATAAGAGCGAGGTGGCTCAGCAGGGCGGCAGTGACCCACACCTTTAATCCCAGTGCTCAGGAGGCAGAGGCAGGCGGATTTCTATGAGTTAGAGGATAACCTAGTCTATAGAGTGAGTTTCAGGACATCCATGGCTACACAGAAAAACCCTGTCTTGGGTGGGGAGGAAGTATGGTCTGTAACTCTAGTTTCAGGGAACCTGGTTCCCTCCTCTGGCTTCACAGGCACCAGGTATACACACAGTGCACATACAAAACCATGAAGGTAAAACACTCATACACATAAATACAAATAAACCCAAAAGCACAACAACAAAGAATCTTATTGATGTCTGGGTCGACTCTAACCACAGCTATGGACAACTGTGTCCCAACAGATGTTTAACGATACGTGTCTGTGGCAGAACTAAACTGGCGGGAGGCTGAGCTCAGTTATGTCACCATAGGCCATAGGCCCAGTCTATCATTGGCCCAATTCTGAATGTCACTGGCTATCAAAACAGAACCCTTAGAGAGCTTCTACTTCTTGATTCCTTTCAACGTCTCAGACTATAATAAAGAGAAGTAGATGCATGCAGAAAATCCATACAACAAGCAGCCAAGGCTGCCTGTGGCAGAGCACAGTCCTTACTAACTCCAAACACCCGTCCTGAAGCACTGTGGCAGTCTTAGGGCAATGTATCACTGGTAGTCATTTTATTTGTTCGACAAATATTTGGAGCTAGGAATGTGGCTTAGTGATTGGACACGTATTCAGTGTGGCCACAGGCCTGAGTTAATCTTCAACAACAAAAATTACTACAACAAACATTTACCAAGTATATACATCAGGCTCTGACAGGCTTATGGGAGAGTGAATGGTGGAGTGACAAATGCAGCAGGTGCCGTTCTGTGACCTCTCAGGCTAGGGAAACCATCAGAGCACAACTCAGGACATGCTCTGATTCTTTCCATTATAGGTATCATCTCCCCATCAGTTTTGAGGGGATGAAGGCAGATGATAAGGGAGAGGAAGACTGAACAACAACAGGTACTATGAGGGTTTAGAACGGGCTCAAACCTTCCTTGGTACTTCTGTTCTAATGATGTCCTGAGGCAAATCTTATGAGTAAAGTTGGCCTTTCCAGTCAGCAAAATCAATCAATCAACCAACCAACCAACCAACCAACCAACCAACCAACCAACCAGCATAATAAAGAAATAAACCAGCATCACTCTAACCTTATCAGCTATAGAAACGATAGGTTTTACTTAATTGCATTTTGCAGGGATCCATTTGTCTTTGGCAGACTCAAATCTCACCTTCTTTGTTTATTGTCCTCTGCCTCTGGGGAGTATCATCTGTGCAGATTCAACAGATACTCTGAAAAGTCTTTTCTCATCCTTTCTAAGTATGCGAAGACAGAAAGAGGAATCCCCATGCACGTGTAAAGAGCTCCTACTGAAGGGGTTGATCTGCTTGGACTTCTTAAGGCTCTGTAGTGTTTCCTCAGACAGCCCATCCCACTAACCTGTCTCTCTTGTCCTTTGCATTTTAACAGGTAACAAATTAAGTAACAACAGCTTTTGTTTGTTTGTTTTTGAGACAGGGTTTCTCTGTGTAGCCTTGGCTGTCCTGGAACTCTGTCGACCAGGCTGGCCTCTTAACTCTGAGATCTGACTACCTCTGTCTCCCGAGTGCTGGGATTATAGGTGTGTGCCACCACCACCTGGCTAAACAAAAGATTTTTTTTAATTGTGTTGGTAGCACAGATAGTTTTATGGAAATCTTAATGTTCTGGACATCAGACCCTGAAACAAATATATATATGTGTGTGTGTGTGTGTGTGTATATATATATTTGTGTGTGTTGGTGTGTCTCATGAAGTGGATCTCAGCAAGTTCTCAAAATGGCCAACATTTAAAAACAGCCAAAACACAATAAAAATACAAGGTTTAAGGTTTAGAAACCTAGTAGAGACCAATGGAGCTATTCTGAGGGCAGAAGGCTTCAACATTTCTTTCCCTCTTGGTTTACTTGAGACAAGGTCTATAGAGCCTTGTCTGACCTTGTAAATTGCTCTGTAGGCCAAGATGGACTCAAACTCAGAGGTCTGTCTGCCTCTGCCTCCCAAGCACCACAAGTAAAGGTGTGCACTACCACGTTAAGCCTAGAATTCTTGACACAAATGACACCAATACCCACATAAAATAAATAAACTGGAGAAACGACTCACAGCATAGGATAAGCAGTCAGTCTCCCCTCCCCCTCCGTACCTTTAAAGCCTCTATAACAAGGTCCCTTGCTTCAAGTTCTCCTTCAAGAATACTGAACAGTGTCAGGAGTTCAGGCTTGCTGAGTTTTTCCAGATTCATCCTGAAAGTCTTAAACAAAGGCAAAAATCAGTCTTCAGAAGAAGAACTTGATCAGAGTAAAGGAAAAAGACAAGATACAAGAGCAAAATGTATAGCACGGTACCCTTTAGACCTGCAATTCAAAACACCACCAAAGTTTCTTGATGTTAATCATAAACTGAGCAGGAAGAGAAAAAGAAAATCCACTGTAAATTATTGATTCCATCACCAAGATCAATTATTCATTATCTTTTCCAGGCTGGTTTGCAACCTGGGTCTCAAAAAGGGCAGGGAACGGATTCTGTCTGCTAGAAACTCAGGTAGAACTGTCTTCCATTGGACAGCATTTCACTAGAGAACTACTGCATCTCATAGAGATCCCCCAGTCTTAGACAACAGAACTTGAAAACTGTACAGAACATTCTAGCATCTCTCTTCACTTGGTTGAGTGAAGTTCAAGAGAAGGTAATGCTTGCTCAAAGTGTAGGAATAGCTGAGAGTGTAACACAAACTTTAAATTGTTTCTGACAGAAAGTAGGGATCACAATGTTTACACATCCTTCAGCAACACAGACTTAAACACAAATATATGCAAGTAAACATCCATCTTCATCTTTTTAAAAGGTTTTTTAAAAATGATGTTTCTGTGTGCAGGTTTACGCATGAGGACAGGGCCCTTGGAGGCCTTAGGGGACTGGATTCCTCTGGGCTGGAGTTATATTAGGCTGTGAGCTGTCTGATGCGGGTGCACAGGACTGAATGTGGGCATCCTGTAAGAGCATCAGGTGCCCTTAACCACTATCCATCTCTCCAGCCCTGTAGTCTCCTATGTGGTACAAGCTGGCCTAAAACTCACTAAATCATTTTGGTTCACCGTGAATTCTCAACCCTGCTACCTCAGGCTCCAGAGTGTCAAGTGTGAGTCAGTATGCTCGGTTATAAATATGCTTCTAGTAATAAGTTAAACTACCTTCTTTAACTATCTCAGTTAGCCAGGCTACTACAAATTTTACTTTTTATGACCATTATTTTGTTTTCCTGAGATATGAACTAAGTAGTGTAGCCTGGCCTAACCTCCTGTGTAGATCAGGCTGGCCTTAAGCTTCTAGTGAGCCTCACTCAGCCTTTATTTCCTAAGGCCAGGGTTACAGCAGGTACTCCTTATACATCACGATGGCTTTCTTAAAGACATTGTCATTCAATTCTATCACATACTTTGACCACATTCACCTCCTCAATCATTCTCCTTCCCCCCACCCCAACACCTGTCTCCTTCCTCTCCCAATCTAGCTTCTACTCCCATGTCACATGTGTGTGTGTGGTCTTAGGTATCTATGGAAAGTCTACAAGTGAGAAAAAATGTAATTTTTGTTTACTATGCTTGATATGATCTCTAGTTGGATGCATTTACTCTGCAAGTGAGATTAATTTATTCTTCCTTACGGATGGATAAAATACCATTGTGCATATACACACTTTCTTTACCTCCTCAGATGTTAGCAGAAATACCTCAGCTCATTATTATTTGGCTATTATGAATACTGCTACAATGAACATGAGTCCTGTGGGTGTTTATCCAGGCATGCTGTAGCAGGGGTCTAATTTTAGTTTTCTAAGAAACTGTAATATTGACTTCTATACCTGCAGAGTAGATCTCAGTGCCCTGGAGGACCTGGAGAGTATGATTCTTTTAGGCTATCTTTCTTAGGTTTAGCTCCTTCCCCTTGTCCACTCTCTTCCTTCTGTGTCTTCATACAGTTATGGCTGGCCTTGAATTTGCACAATCTTCCTGCTTTTGCTTCCCAAGTCCTGGAATCACAGTTATGGACCATCACTTGGCCCTATCACTGTCTGAAAACTGGCTTTCAGCGCATTTATCTGTCAGCTAAGGATGTCAACTTTTTTTTTTTTTCATGTTTACTGGCCATTTGCACTTCTTCATTTGAAAAGTGTCTGTTTCATATTCATTTATTAACGAGGTTGTTTTACTTTCTTGTCATTTTTACTTATTTTATATATGTTTATTTTTGTGTGTTGTATATGTGTGCACACATATGTGCCATGGCATATGTATGACGGTCAGAGAACAACCTGTGGGGTTGGTTCTCATTCCACCATGTGGGTTCCAGTAATCCAGTTCAGGTTGCCAGACTTGAAAGGAAGTGTTTTGGTTTTTTTTTTTTTTTTTTTTTTTTGGGGAAGGGTTTTTGTGTATACCCCCGGGGGTCCGGGAAAACATTCTGTAGACCAGGCTGGCCTCGAACTCAGAAATCCGCCTGCCTCTGCCTCCCAAGTGCTGGGATTAAAGGCGTGCGCCACCACCGCCCGGCCGTGTTTTGGTTTTTTTTTTTGTTTTTTTGTTTTTTTCCATCTGAGCTGTTTTTGTTATTGTGCCTACAGTGTAACTTCAGACCTGTAGTATGGGTACACAATATGAGTATAGTTTTACTGGAGGTACTGGGACACCTCCAACATTACTCCAGCTCAGGGTTGCTTGGGCTGTTCTAGGTTTTCTGTGCTTCTTTGTTTTAGGCTTGTTTTTCCTATTTATATAGTGAGGAACGTTACTGGAATTTTGATGGGGATTTCACAGATTCTGTAGATTGCTTTTGATGAATGTTATTTTCATTGTTATCAATTCTGCTGACCCATGAACATCGAAGATCTTTCCGTCTTCCAGTCTTCCTCAATTAGTCTCCAGGGTTCTCACTGTAGAAACCTTCTACTTCCTGGTTAGGTTCACTCCTTGGCGCTTTAGTTCTTATTTTTGAAGCTGTCATGAACAGGGCTGCTCTCTCGAGTCCTTTCTCACAGTGTCTGCTGCTGGCATGTAGGAAAGGGACTGATTTCTATGCCGATTCTGTATTATCCTGCTTTTCTCAGTGTTTACCAGTTCTAAGAGCTGTTTTCAGTCAATCTGTCTAACAAGTTCATATTTTCTAGAAGGATCTGTTAAATAGTGTGGCACCTAGTCAGTCTCCTGTCTCAAAACACATGTAGGCAGACCTACAAAGGAGCTCTGGCAGTGAACACAGTACCAGAGTCTATAGCTTCCAAGGGAGTACAAATACTATTTTCCTTCTACTTTTTCTTCCCAAACTGTAACTGTCACACTTTTTCTTTCGAATGAAGGCAATGTGATGAGTTCAAGTACTCCCCAGAACTCAAAGAAGCCACTAACTCCAGGGCTACTATACTGAAGCAGAGGAAAAAACACACAGATATGTACTTTGATGTCTCATCAGAGCATGTTCTAGCATGGAACTTGGAAATCTCTTACCATACAGAAAAATGTCCTTAATGTTTGTAACTTTGGTTCTAACTGCTAACTTCCCCAAGTGAATTCCAGCCTCTGGTGGGTCTTGAGTAGTATTAAAGACTATGTGCCATAAGTTATTGTGAAAATAAAAAAAAGAAAAAGAAAACAATCTCAATTAGAAATCCTCAACAAACTTAATAAAGCTGCCTATCAGTCCTACCTCAAAGCTGTATCAGGCACAACGAAGACTTCACCTCTTGGCAGCCACAGCGAGGTCTGAATCTTCCTGAGTGACTGGGAGACTTCCTCTTACAGATGCATTTCAGGAAGACAGGGCTTTAGAAATCTTTACTTATATGTCCAGTGCTGTTTAAGGACTACCTTCCTTCCTTGTTTGGTTTTGTTTGTTTTATTTCTGAGATAGGGTCTTACTCTGTGGTCCACACTAGACTAGGCATGAACTTGCAGCAATCTTCCTGCCTTACCCTCTCTCATGCTGAAATCACATGCATAAGCCACCACACCTGGCTCAGTAACTTTAAAATTTTGTTTTACTTAAACTTTAAACTTATCTACTTGTTGCTGTGCAGGTGTGGGTATGAGGAATGTGTGCCATGGTGTGCCTATGGAGGTTAGATGACAACCTGCAGCAGTCACCTCTCTCCTTTAGCTTGGGTCCCAAGGATCGAACTTGGGTCATCAGGCTTGAACAAGTCATTTTATCCAACGAGCCATCTCACTGGTCTTGATTTAATTATCATTGTATATTTTAAGATTCTATCATTTACTTATGTGTGTATGTACATCTGTGAGTGTGTATGTGCACATGAATACAGGTGCCCATAGAGGCCAGAAGAGAATGATGATCCCCTGAAGCTGGAGTTGCAGGGAGCTGTGAGCTGCCCTACATGGATGCTGGGAACCAAACTCAGGTTCCATAAAAGAGCAACGAGTGCTCTCTTTTTCTTTTGTGGGCATGAGCCATCACACCAGGCTGTGGAACAAGCACTCTTAACCACTGAGCGATCTCCCAGCTCTCCGCTTCAGTAATTAATAACTACTATTCTTTCATTTTCTAAAATAACTCCAAGGAAGGCATTAGGAAAGCTTCCCCTCTGCAGTCAGGACACACCCACAGGCCATAGCACCAGGAGTGAAGCATGTGGAGAAATGAAACACCTGGAGCGTCGTGCTGGCTTCTTACTTTTACTTCCCTCACCAAGACCACAGGTAGAGGGGATGTCCTATTATGCTCCTCCTCGCTTTCCCCATGATGCTAAGCAGTATAATGGGCAGATGGGAAAGGCACTCCCCAAATACCAATGGAGCAGAGTAAAGCCGCTGGACATATAAGCATCAAGGCAGGACGGCGGCAACAATGGTGAAAAACGGCTATTCATATTTCTTTTCTCCAATATTTTCAGAGTCGTCAAACTTTTGTTTAGAGGTTTAAAAGTATGACCAAAAGAGGTTCAAAAGCAGCCATGCTCTTTCAGTAAAGCACAGAGCGTTACTGAGAAGAGCAGAATGCCAGTCCTCGATGGGGCAGGAACAGCTAGATGGCCTTGAGGAACACATACTTAGTTGTGTTTCTTAACAGGTAAAACAAAACCAATTAGGTGCTCTCCAAAGTCCCTCTTAGTTCCGCTCTAAATAAGCATAAAGACTGGAGGTGAAGTCAGTGTAGACTGCCAGCCTAGAAGGGGCTGGGCTTTACCCCTACTATACAAATTTAATTATACCCAAATCAAGTCTCTGACCTGGTACTTCTCCATCAAAGAATAAAATTTCTATCATCTTCAGAGTCACTTGAATTAGAAAACAGTCTAGCCTACACAAGAAAAATCCATTCTTTATTAGTGATATGAAAAAAAAATACTCTGGGGCTGGAAAGATGTCTACTGGGTAAACTGCTTGCTGTGCAAGCGTAAGGACCAAGCTCAGATCCTCAGCACCCACATACAAAGTCGGGTATGGCAGCATGCACCTGGAACCCCAGGCAGGACTGGAGAGGACAGAGACAGGCAGACAGATCCCTAGAGCCCACTGACCAGGTAATCGAGCCAACTAATGAGCACTAGGTTCAGTGAGACACCATGTCTCAAGAAATACAGTGAAGAGCAATACAGAAAGATATCCTTTGGTCTCTGTACAAGCATGCACAGGGGTATGTATCATACATATCAGTGACACACACACACACACACACACACACACACACACACACACACACACA